TCTCTCTCTCTCTCTCTCTCTCTCTCTCTCTCTCTCTCTCTCTCTCTGTGTGTGTGTGTGTGTGTTAGAAACTAGTCAACAGTTTCATTGGGGTAATATTAGCTTCTGCTGTTTTGTTTTGATATCTTTTGTTATGAATTTTTGTTATTGTATTTCCTATTTTTATAGCCTACCCCAATCAGAGAACTCTGGATAGATTCCAACAAAATAAATACAGAACAATAAATGAATTCTAAACACCTCCTTCAAAATAGATCCTTCTGGAAATAAAATAGTCCAGAGTTTGATAGTCTCCAGATACTTTGATAGCTTACAACTTCCCAATTCTTTCAGGCAGCCCAACAGAATACAATGATGTGTGATATCAAACACCAATAAAAGATCCTAAAAGACCTAGAACAACATGCTCCCCTCTTTGAGAGACCAATAAAATGTGCTCACTTCATTGAAAGTAATCTCAAAATAATCCCAGATAACAGTACGGGATTCAGATTTGCTCACTGTATTGGGTTCTGTCCAACTGGTATCTAGCCCATATGAGCAATATTATCTGCCCAGAAAACTACAAAACCATTCACTGAGCCTGTAGGTATCTTAACCCACCCATATTTCCCTAAAAACCTCTGACTGAGGCTGCTAGGAGAAAATCTGTGAATGCAGTTAAGTGCAGAGAAATCATGCTATGCTTCTCTTGCCACTGATGTGCAGCTTAAAAATGAACCTTTATCAATACCTGGTCTGATGCATTTCTGGATTTTCTGTGACCACTACTTGCGGATGTCGTTTGAGTCATTTCATTTCCTTTAGTTCTTCATTAAACCAAGCAGCCACACAGAATCATTAACTGGGAAGAGGAGCCCTTACAAGAACAATCCCATCAAGCACTCCAGTGGTTTCCATGTTCCAGAGGCCCTACCAAACACACAATGGTGTTTTTTTGTTGTTTTTCCTAGCATTTTAAGTATTAGTAGTGCCTTCTCTTTCATTGCATGCACATAAGCACACATACATGCAAACACACGCAGAAACAGCCATGTTTGCACATATTACAGTCATCTAGGTGTGTATGAAATTTGAGCAGAAGATAAGCCTTCCTCATTTTGGCCATGGTGGTTTGATCTTGATTAGATCATTTCAATGGAATGGAATGTTTATTAGTTTTGTTTTGTTTTTTCAGTAAAAAAGAGGAAAGTGGCAGTCTTCTAGCTGTGGATGTTGCCAATCTGATCAGGTTCCTGAGCTATAACATGCAAGGGAAAAATATGAAGGGAAAATCCATAGATGGTTCATAATGATAACAATTAAGGAAAAGCAGAATTGGAGTTATGAAAAATATTGGTTTGATTGTTGTATATAATTTTTTTTGTCTTGCAGTTCTTGTTGCTGATATGCTAGTTTATATTCCTGCAGTATTCTTATACTGCTGTTATTTAAAAGAGATATCAATAAAAAAGAAGGTTAGTATATTTTCTTTGCGACAAAAATAATGTTTCTATGTGAAAAAGTAAGGAATGTAGTGAATAATCAGATAAAAATATTAGTCCAATTATGATTAAAACCATTAATTTAACAGTATTTATTACAGTGTTTCACAATAAACAAATACATGTCGATCTATTTATGTAAAATAAACAAGGTTTACAATTAAAATACATAGCATGATTATAAAATAGAGCCAATTTGGTCTAGTGGTTAAAGTACCAGGCTTGGAAGTGGGAGACGGTGAGTTCTAGTCCCACCTTTGCAATGAAAGCCAGTTAGATGACTTTGGGTCAGTCACACTCTTTCAGTCCGACCTACCTCAGAGGGTTGTTGTTGTGCAGAACATAGGGGGAGGATCAGGGGTTGGCTTCAAAAATTTCTGCCTGGTTGCTGGGTGGGCATGACCATGCTGGGCGTGGCCTAGTTGGCCTCCTGCACCATGGCAAAGGAGGGTTTTTGCCCTCCCCGGCCTCCGAAAGCTCTCTGGAAGCTGGAAACGGGCCCATTTCCAACTTTTCTGAACTTCTGCGAGGCCCGTTTTTCACCCTCCCTGAGCCTCCACACGCACCCCGCACTTACCTGTATCCAAAACAGGCTGCTTTGAGTTTGTAAACAAAGGTTGGAATATAAATTTAATAAACAAACATTAAAACATATGGGGTAATTGAGTTATACTTTTGAAAAACAATAAAAAAACAAAATACTATCCATTGCAATAGATTTAACACTTCTTTGTTTGCATCTTTTTAGATGGAAGAAGTTCAATGGGTTGACAGTTCCACTATAATCTTTCTAAAGAAAATGAATATTCACATTTTACCTGTGCTATTGATTTTATTTTTGTTGTTGTTCTCAGATTTCTAGTGCTCTCTGCACATTGCTTTATCCTGGTCTAATTCTGATTGACTATGGACATTTTCAGTATCTTTTTTTTTGTTCTGTGAAGACAATTTTTTGTAATGCATGGATATTGTGGAATAAGTCTGTTGCTGTGTGGGTAAGAAAGTGGGACGGGTGAGGGAAGTCAAAGCAATATGTGGCACAACTAGAGTGAAAAGAACATTTTTCTGCCCCATTTTACTATTTTAAGACATATTCTTTTCATGCCGTCTCATTTCGTCAAGTAGGTTTTAGTGGCAGTGGACAACCAACAGAATCCTGTAAAAGTTACATATTCTTTATTAGCAAGCTCTATACACATTATTGTCCTTAACAGAACAAACATATATAATTCCGTGAGTCTTGGTCTTGCTTTGTGGGGAGTGCTGTTTCTATCTTATGACTTTGACCTTTTGGGTTCCGCAGCATTTTGTTTTGCTATAAACTACAAACAAATGGAGCTCTACCACGCTTTGCCCTTCTTCTGCTACTTACTAGGAAAGTGCTTCAAGAAAGGCCTGATGGGCAAAGGGTGAGTATCTGTGCAAGCTGACATCCAGAAAATAGTCCTGGAATGCACTTAGGCTGTTTTGCCTTGGGAATTTGTGCATGTCATTCATTTCTTGATTAGCTTTTGCAATAGGGATTCATGTCATTATCATCCCCCTTCCCCCAGAGAAGCATGTTTCTCCTAAGTCATTAAATAACATACTAAATAGTTTTAAGAGTGTCTACAGTGTATCAAAATACACACAACTATCTTTTCTCTTCAACACCTGTCATTAGTTAAGCACAGGTCACAAATGTACACCCATATTTAGAAGATAAGAGTTTAGAATGTTTTTTCTTCTTCTTGAGCGTGGCAGGGAGAGTATATTTAACAGTTTTAACTTTTCTAACAGATTTCCTACTTGGAAAAGTAAACTTAAGTTTGAAAGTACTGTACATAAAAATTATCTTTCTTTGAGGTTTGATTTTTTTTTTCTTAACAGGTTATGGTTGTTGATGAAACTGTCTTTTATTGTCATTCTTTCTTTTGCGATCTGCTGGCTCCCATTTTGTACAGACATTGAACAAATTTTGCAAGTGCTCAGAAGGCTCTTTCCAGTAGATCGAGGTTTGTTTGAGGTATGCCTCATGTTCCCCCTCCCAAGCATCTTGTAAATGTTTTATATTTTTAGCTCCCTTGAGAAACCTTCACTTTGACCCTTAGGGATTTCATGTGGAAGATACACCAGAAGGCTAGTAATATGATCTGGCTTCTCTGACTGTCATTTCTTGCCAGTTATTTAATCCAGCATTTAACCCCAAGCTCAGCTGGCATCTTCTAGGATATTATACAAATAGAATTAATCCCATCGTCAGATCTATAGTACAGGCATACATTTTTCAAATATATTCCACAATAATAAACAATGTCCTTGCACAATCTAGAAGTTTTTTAAAAAAATTCAATATAGAAAAAAATTAATGTTTCTTTTTCATTTTAATCTTCCAAGACATTGGGTTAATGCTCAAGTTTGCATGGTTTTAATTTGTCCTGGTGGAAAATTTATAGTTTGCTTGTCTGAGGTAAATCCTTAAGATGTTGACCATAAACTGGATGGTTTTATTACTGGTATTATTTTTATTAATTTGTTTGCACCAGACAGAGAAACAGTGATATATACTTTGCAGCAGACTCTCATCTGAAAATCATTAAGTACAGCAATGGTGTTGGCACATCATAAGAAACACTTAGGATCTTATTCCCCAGTCATATACTGACTGAAATGTTATACGATGAAATAGAAATAGAAATGTGACATGAAGAATAGAAATTCATAAACCAAAGGACTGTCAAGAAGTTCGTTTTTTTGATTGTTAATCTCACTTTATGTTTTAAAAGCAAAAGAAACACATTGTAGATTTTAATGAAATGGGTCTGTATGATTTAAAAACTTCACACAGTTTATTCAGTGTTAAGATTTTTAGAGCTGGCACAGGAATGGCTGATTGGGATATTAATCTGAGTAAACTAAGAAACTGTCTACTAAGCAATGCACAATAAGTTTATCCTGGGGTGCCTATGACAGGTTCTTTGAATTGATTCCCATTTACAGACATGTCTTTAGTGCTGATAATTATAAAACTTCAGTGGCATTAAGCTAGCACCTTGTATGTTGGTGGTGCTGCCAAGCACTTGTCACCTTCAGCAAATTTGCAGTGTGCATTCTGTATTCTTGTAAGGGAACAAGGAGATTGTTCGGTTGTTTGTAGTAGCTTTCTTGCTGTTATGTCTACACAGTTGTGATTCAAGCAGCTGTTTAGGGATGAGTTTCATGAGTATGCTAGCTGTGTGGTTACAAATTTAATTTGGAAAGTGATCCTAGCACAACTGCTAATGTCTTTAGACTTCGTGATTTATTAGGGGTTAACTCTGTCATTGCTGGCAGCTAGCAAGTGGTGCTAAATATGTACTAGTAAGAGAATGTGGCAGAATGTAGTATGGCTTAACATTTGAAAAAATGTTTCATGTTGCTTTTTAAAAAGTGGATAATACATAGTTATAGGTAGTTTTGTAGTATTGACAGTCTGTGGTCTCCTCAAAAATCTATGATTTTAGGCTACACAGATACGTTTAATTTCATGTAGATGATTTCTTCCATTCCATGTATATAAAATTATGCTTTGCCTTCAAAATAATGCAATACATTAAATATATTTTCAGGATAAAGTAGCCAATATTTGGTGCTCTCTAAGCATTCTTTTCAAAATAAAGACAATCCTGACAAGAGAAACACAACTTAAATTAAGGTATGTAATTATCAAATTCCCCAAGCAGTTTCCTGTTACCGTTTTAGCAAAAGATGCATTTCAAAGAATATAAATAATTTAGAATTATTTAGATTTAGAATTATTTATGTTATATAGAACTATAAAGAATTATATAGTCAAACGGCCTTAATATAAAAGGTTATTTCAACATTTTGTGGAGCTGTTCTCTGCTTGCTGGTTTATTCATTTGTGATTGAGTCGGACTTAGCTGAATCAATAACATCATCATCATTATGAAAGGAATCTTATTAAAACTGAGCAATACAATTCTCATCTGATTCTTGATTCAGAATTAATCTGGTTATTGAAATCAATGGTTTTAATATGATATTATTACTTTATTTGTAGTTTTGCTTTAACATTCCTGACTGTACTTCCCAGTTGCATAAAACTGACTCTGCAACCTTCGCTCAGAGGATTTAAATATGGCTTGGTAAGTATATAATAACACATATTTAAACATAAAAAGTCATAGTTTTGTAACATGTAATAATCTCTTTTCTTTATCTCTATTATGGTTGATAGGGTTGTAGAGAAGGAAAAAAGACCAATTCCAATCAGTGATCCCCTATAAAACAATCAGTTGGGCAAAATGCTGCTGACTTCTCCATTCTTAACTCATGTGATCTAGATGGAGATTAGGAATTGGAAAGAATTTAAGAAATTATGTTCTGCGTGCTTCCTTTATTCTGTGTGTGTGTGTGTGTGCACGTGCGTGCGCACGCATGTGTGTGTGTGGTGGTTAAGTGTTGGCCTAGAAACCAAGAAACCATGAGTTCTAGTCCTGACCTTAGGTTAATCTCTCTCTCTCTCGGCCCAACCCAACTCACAGGATGTGTGGTGGGGAAAATAGAAGAATAAGGAGTATTATCTATGTTTAATATGGGTGCCCACTGCCTTGGGTTACCTAAAAAGTAATAAAGGTGAGGTAGGAATTTAATAAACAAAATAAAATAAATTAAACATTTCTTTCCAAAGGAGGCCATCAGTGGCAACTTATAACTCCATATTTTGTTCCTTTTTTTTTCTTTTGCCAAGAATTCTTCTAATTTTCCATTACTGAAGGAAAGTAACATAGTAAAATTGATAAAAACAATTTTGGAATGAAATATTTATTTAGCAAAAATGCAAATTATACTGTAGTATTGGGAATCATCATAAAGTGGAAGAGTTTTTACAGGTTATTTTGGTAAAAAAAAACCTGAGTTGGAGAAATACCCAAAATCTATCTTTTATAATGCTTTGTCTACCATCTTATAGTAACTTGTCCATTTTTAAAGATTTATCAAGTTTTTTTAATATCCTAGAAGGCAGCTTATGAGAGATTGATTTGTGGAGTCTTTGATGCTCTCTGAGTTTGGTTGTTTACTTGCAAACATTTCATTACCCACCTAGGTAATATCATGATCATGGCACATGATGGTAGTGATGAAGTTACCTAGTTGGCTAATGAATTATCCTGAAGCAAACCAAGATCAGAGAGCATCAAGAACTCCACCATCCAATCCTGTGAACCACACATATTCTCTTCTGTGAGAGCTAGCTATTTTCCATCAATTCTTTAAGGATCTTCAACTATGGTCTCTAACCTGTCATCAACCTCATGCACAAAAAGTTGGGAAATATTTTACTCCATAAACATTATTATAGTAGTCTGTTTATAATGTCCATGGAGTTACTTGGCAATAAAATTATCCATGTTAGCCTCATTCACAATATCTCATTGAACAGCAAACATAGCTAATGAATAACCTGTTTAAATGAGGGGAATGGGACAATTTTCCACAGCCAACTCATCATGGCCAACTTGCTGCAGGACAGCTTGCCACAGACAACTCACTGCAGGAAAACTCGCTGCAGGACAATTTTACAATTCTATTTAATTATTTTAAATAAATAAAAATTATTTGAATTTCTGTCATTCACATTTCATTCTGTCCCCACTTTTGCATCCTTTCTTTAATGATTCTATTCCACCATTTCTTTGGTATGAGTGTAACTCTTGTCCAGCAGTGAGTTGTCCTGTGGTGAGATTGCCATGGCAAGTTGGCCGTGGCAAGTTGGCCATGGCGAGTTAGCCATGCCAAATTGTCATAGACCCTAAATGATAGGTTCTTGCACTGTTAGTGGTCTTTGACATTGGACTGCTACCTGCAGTATTTGTCAGAACACTGAAAAACATAAAGGTATAATAAAAACTGATCATAAAACTTATCAGTCAAATTTAGTACTTCAGACCAGAGAGAAAGTACAACTCTACCATACCAGAAGCCTATTTTAAATCCTTCTCAATTTGTCTAGATCGCTTAAGTTTTACATCAGTGATTTGACAGTTTTGTTAATTTGTTTAGATGCCCTGGTGAGTCACTTCCCTGGTAGATGGTTCATGCTCTCATCAACAACTAATCAGCTAATAAAGCTATCCAAGTGGACATGCAACTAATTTACAGCATTTTATCATATTGTGAGCCTATGGCCATGTAGCCATATTTTGTGATATAAATAAAAGCTTTTGGTAATAAAAGTGTGGAACTGATTGGCCATGATTAATAGCACAAAAATGCTCTACATAGACCTGTCAATAAAGTAAAAGCAGATCTTGTCTGCTTTTAACATTCTTAATTTTCTTTTTCAAAGGTTTGCTGTTCATTGTCTTTCTTTCTCTTCTCATTCCAAGTGCATGAAAAATCTGTTCTTCTTGTTTCGGTGTAAGTAATATTTTATATTAAAATACTTTAATTATTCTATAAAAATTGGTACTTGGAAATATGTGTGAGAAAAACTGTAGTGCTGACAAAAAGATTCTAAAATAAGATCCAAGCTCCTACACAAGGACCAGTACATTTGTATAACATGTGAGTTGTGTATCCGTGAATTTCTGCTCTCCCATTCTAATAGAATCTGGAAGGTGAAATCATGGACTTTTCTTAGGTCCCAGAATACTGCATATGCATTGAAGTTGTAGCTGATTAGCACTGATCATGGAGGCAGATTCTTTTATTGCAGAGGTATCAAGGACATGAAGTATTGCTTACTCCCATAGAAAGATCCATTATTTGGAGCATTAATCCATTTATTTTGTTGTCCTAATATTCTTTTATGATTATCAAGGAAGCAGCAGCTAAAAAATTATTATGTTCCTTAAACAATGCTTTTGAGCTTATATTTCTGTTTTCCCCTTAGACCAGTTTGCTTAGTTATACATGAAATTCCTTTTATATCTACATGGTTTCTTCTAGTTTCAACTTTCAGGTGAGTTTGAATGTTATTTCTAAACAATTCTTCGTACTTTGAAAAGACATTTTAAGATTTATTTTACATTGTAATTTTTTTGGCTTGTATAACCTTGCTAGATTTCACAATAATTCATGTTTCCCTTTACAGCATGCTTCCTCTTCTATTAAAGGATGGCCTTCTTTTGTCTTACATTGTCACAATGTTGGCTTTCCTCCTGGTCTGTACAACTTCTTTTTCAATATTTGAAAAAACATCTGAAGAAGATCTGCAGCTAAAAAAACTTTCCAGTTACTTAAAGAAATACATTACTTGGTTTAAGACATTTTCAAAACTTATGAAGAGTTTAGTAAGTAACTGTTACAAAAATATATTATGTGCACTAATTTTACTAAGAGCATATGCATGCTTTGCATTTGTTTTTCTTACCAAAGCACAAAGCACTATATTAAGTTGCCAAACTTCCTTAGTTAAACTATTGAATTACATTATTCAGTAATGCTGTTACAAACAATTGCTTTAATACTTTTCAGCATTACTTCTGAGCAGCATCTAGCATCTTATAATCATAATCCTTCAAGTTGACTAATAAAATGAATTCCTTCACCCCGTGCATTACCATGTTAGTAATGCAGTGAGCACTTTATATACATAGCAATAGTAGGATTATTTTTCTACTTGAAAATGTGTATATTTAATGGTATTTTATTAGCATCAATCCTGGCAACTGGTAAATATGTTATGCTGCAGAGGCATTGAATTCATTGAAATAATTATTTATTAAATTTATATACCACCCAATGAAACCACTTATTGGGCAAAACTGTAGTAACCGTCATGCTTTTTCTCTTCTCCTACCCCAACTTTCAGTTTTTCATCTCAGTAACTCTGATGAGCATCCTGACTTTAATGAGTGCTACGATGGAACCTCCAACGCATCTCCCAGATTTATTTCCAGTAGCTGTCTCTGTTGTATCCTGCTTACACTTTCTCTTTTTCTTACTGTATTTTAACATCATTGCAATGTGGGAATCAAAAGATGGTCGAAATCAGAAAAAAATAAATTAATTTCAAGTGCCAACTTGGAAAATTAATAGCTCTTATTTTGTATATAGCATTTTCCATAGACCTTTGCCTTAAAGTGTTCTATAATGGAATGCTATTCTTTTTGTCATTTCATGCATTTTCTAAGAAAAGCCAGAAAAAAATATTTACAGATTAATATGTGCTGTTCCCAAGAGAGTTGTGCTTACTGCTCTTTTCTGTGAAGTAAAAAAACAATCCTTGACACTTGACAGTAAGTTCAAAATAAATCCAGAAAATAAGAAGCATCTCAACAATCTGTGCAAGTTTATTTTAAACAGATATAATACCCCAATAATTTAATAATGTTATGATTGAATTGGTTTAATATACTTCCCAAAATAAAACATGTTGACGTTACTGATTGTATGTTATAGCAATTACTCATGTCTGTTGCTACTAAGTGCTATCTCTTACAGTGTATTTGATTACACATAATAAATTGCCTTATACTAAATTTCAATATCCTTTCTATTATAAGCTTAAAATCATCAAGGTCAAGAGTCAAGTGATTCAGTGTTATCGTTCATGCTTTCCTGACAGTCTTATTTCAGTATTAAACCTCAATAATATTTGAAGGCCATAACAGGAATTACAGTGTATAGCTGTGGTGAATACTTTCCATGTACAGTATATTAACATGCAAACCTTGTAGTATTGGGAGATATGAGTCACTGTGGTCATTAGGATTCAGATAATTGATTTAGGATTAGGGTTATACTCTTTTCATAGGCATGGAAACTGGTTGTATAAGACTGTTGTTCTGGATTGGAAAGTTGAAATACTGGAAAGTTGAAACACATCAATCTACCAATGTGTTGAACTAAGAGGCCTTCATCCTTCGGCAGACTGAGAGAAGAGAACCTCAGTTCAGCACTAAAACTAGAATGCTTAATAAACGGATCACTCAGAAAAGCTCAAATCATGTTGCAAAATCTGGTTGTTTTGTATATTATCTTGTAAGACACTTGCTTTTTCATGTGACAGTTGAAAGCAATTTTATAATACAAGGAAATAAATATAATATTGTTTCTTTGATTAATCAGATTTCCATTCTGACCAATGGAAAATTTAAAACAGTCTTGCTTTTCTGTTATATATCCTCATATCATTGAATATCTTCAATAGAAATGCAACTAAGTACTGTAAATCTTTCTTAGTCAGAGTCATGTTCAGTTGACTTTGGATATCATTCTGTACTTCTTTTTCCCTTTTCCTCAAAGTATACAATGAGCATGTATGTAAGTATGCATGTATATGTGCTTGCTTGCTAGGTAACTAGTAAACTTGTTTGTTAGCTTGCCCTATGCTTTCAACTGGGACAACTATAAATTTCTAAGTTCTGAAGAATAGGATGGGGTTCATCATGTGTAGCTTGAATCCCTGGCATTAATGGTAAGTAAAAGTGACCAGATAACTGATTTGGGGCTGGGTTGAGTTACAGTAATGGTAAATGCATATTTGTATGTGTTCTTTTCCTTCCTAAAGGTATAGTTTCATTTAGAAGTGGTAGGAAAGAGAGATTGATGTGTACGTGGGCAAATCTATTCATGTAATACTGATTTTTACTGATGTGTCATAACCATTCTCAGCCTGCACTGGAATTTCAAACATTATTCGAAATATCAGATTTAAATTTAAACTCTTATATTGTGTAATGTTCTTTAAAATACAGACACAATAGGTCCACTTGCCATAGATTTTTCTCTAGATTCAGCTACCTACTAGAAATACATGTATGAAAAAATAATATTCCATTTTAACCTTACTAAACCATACCAATTAAATAGTACCATTGAATTTGATATCTTTCTGTTGCACACAAATTAGATTTAATCTGGGGGATCTGTCATAACTTGAACAGTTGCAAAGTGGCCAATCATAAATCAAGGGCTACCTGTATTGATCTCATGTTTTTATTACCCTATGCCAGGGGTAGGGGAACTTGGCTCTTTTATCACTAATGGACTTCAACTCCCAAAATGGGACTGTGAAATATATATTTGTATATTAAAATGTCCTACATTTGTATATTAAAATATGTCCTACATTTGTATATTAAACAGTCCCATTCAAGTCAAAAGTTGATTTCCCCCACAACTGAGAAACCAGTAGGCCAGAGATGGGGAACCTTTTATGGCTCACTCAGGAATTCTGGGAGTTGAAGCCCATAAGTGATAAAAGAGCCAAGTTTCCCTACCCCTGCCCTATGCTATCCTTTTTCTCACCCAGTAATCAGAGGGTAAGAGCAAGTGCTCATTAGCATAGAAAAAGCTTAGTATTATATACATTGTTTCCTTTCTCCTTATGATGGCTTTCGGTACAGGGAGAATTATCTGATATTTACTTATATAGAAATATAAAAGGGTTGTTTATTTAGTCAGCTATTCTTGAAAAGGGGAAGTGCCTAAAACTGGTAACTATAATGTTTTAGTCCTTTGGAAACTTGTAGAGAAGTAAATTCCACTAAATCAGCAAAACAAGTTGTCATTAAGAAATTTAGAACTAGCTTTGTTGTATACTAAACTTGCATTACAACTTGGTGTAAAACATTAAGCTCTTTGGAATCATGTTGATATGCATGATTAGCAATTACCTTTTATGAATAATCCCTTTTTCCTGCCTTTAAAGCTATGATCAATCCTGTCCTTCAATGTGTATGTTTTCATACAACATACATACATTTTAGGGAAAAAAATACATTTTAATACTGAAATGTCAAATGAAAAAAATGAGTAAATGGAAAATTATCAAATAAAAATTTGACTGTATTAAAACTAAATTTTATTATAATTTATCAGATTTATATCTTGCTTTTCCACAGGAAGACAATTTCCCATACAGAGCATCCCTCTCATTCTCCCCCCCCAAATAACCATCTTGTGAAAGGGGTTGAGCTGAGAGTGTAATTGGACCAGGATCATTCAGTGACCTTGAACTGAGGCCCTCCACTCCTGGTCCAACACCAGAACCACTACACTAAACTAGTCTAATTCATACCTTTTGAAACCAGATGGTGATTTTTCCCAAGCATGCTAATATGGTACAGAATAGTTCTATACAAGCAGAAGCCCGTTCTCCTTTTTTTTAATGCTGTTTCTATAGTGCCTTCTCATGAGCAGCTTTTCAAAAGGCATAAACAGCTAAGCATGAAAAACAAGAAAAAGGGGCTATAAGATATAATGGTTTATGTACAAAGAGCAAATGCAAATTTAAAGCTCCAGTCATCTCCAGGCCGGTTCTCTCTTTGATTGATAGATAGCTACTGATTGTGTTGGTATCAAACTTGTATGGAAGAATAATGTGGTTTTGCTCTTTCTACTGAATATATAGCCTATTTAAATCTTATGGAGGCCTGTTCAATGGTAAAGCATTCATTCATGTTCCTGAACGTTAGCACCCAGTGTTAGACTGCCACAAGCTATCTGTTGCAGTGTATTTACACAATTTAACCCTGAGTAAATATAGATGGGCCTTTTCTAAAGCTTGTTGTCTGATTTCATTAACCTTATTCTTGGAGAAACTGTCCCAATGGCTCTAGGGAGACACATATGTGTTCCAAATATGGTATCCTGAGATGTGTTTTTTTCCTTCCTAATTATTTCTAAATTTAAGAATCATACAGATAGCAATAGCACTTAGACTTATGTAAATGCTTTACAGTGCTTTACAACCCTCTGTAAGTAGTTTATGGAGTCATCATATTGCCTCCAACAATCTGGGTCCCCATTTTATCAATCTCAGAAGGAGGGAAGGCTAAGTCAACCTTGAGCCATTGAGACTCGAACTGCCAAATTCCTGGCAGCCAGCAGTCAGCAGAATTGGCTGTAATATTGCATTCTAACCACTGCACCACTGCGGTTCTTAAATGTTTTTTTTTTTTTAAAGAGATGACAATTCTTAATTTACATTCCAGGTTGTCAAATACCTTTATTGAGTACAAGTACACAAAACATTTGACTTAGATGCGTTGCTCTTTTGTTTTATGATAATTTCTTGGTAATAAGTTTTCTGAAGCAATCTATTTTCTTTCTCTTTTTTGTAAGAGAAAGAAATAATAAAGACTGTTAGTTAAAGAAAATTAGATAGATAGTAAATTTCAAGTCCCCAGTCTTTGCTATTCCTAAACTAAGCTATCAGTAATTTAGAAAAGTATACATTTTCATAAAGCAAACAAAACGTTCCATTACTTCCATTCAAAATTGTCTGCCTTAAAAATGTACCTCTAATATGCAAACTGAAATGTGAAATCATTTATGGGTCCCAATGCATTTAAAGGTAGTCCTCACCAACAGTAATTGTGACTGGGGTCACAAATAATCAGTGGAACAGCTTCCCTTCAGAAGCTGTGTGTGCTCCATCCCTGGAGGGTTTTAAGAAGAGATTGGACAATCACTTGTCTGAAATGGTATAGTTTCCTGCTTGAGCGGGGGTTGGACTAGAAGACCTCCAAGCTCCCTTCCAACTCTGTTATTTTGATATTCAATCATAAGATGTGTGGTATCATGACTGCACTCACAGCATTAATTCCAGTGATCCCAGTGTTGCTGTCATTTAGATAAATCCCAGGTGGTCACGTCCCAGTCATGTGACCACCATTTGTGATGGCTTCCCTAGACGGTGATAGCAGTGGTCACAGCTGGTGATCACATGATTGGGATTCTGCAACGTAATTGTAAGCCAGTTACAAAGTGCCTGAATCATGATCCCATGATCACGCTGGGATGGTTGTAAATTTGAGGACTGGTAAAAACTACCATGAGGATGCTGTGATGGTCACAACTACAAGGATCCATGGGTAATTACCCCTCGTTTAGTGCCATAATTTGAAATGGTCACTGAACAAGTGGACATTAAGCAAGAATTTTCGGACAGCACTGGCTCTTCGGCTTTGTAACGGAGATGAGCACCACCTCCTAGAGCCAGAAATGATTAGCACGTATGTTTGAAGGGAACCTTTACCTTTACCTTATATTAGAACTATAGTTTAATGTTTATGCTTGCAAACACTATTTCACAAAAATAGTTAACCTTTTAAGGATTGTGCTTCAATGTATTTAGCAGTTTGAGTTCCAATAACACAAAACATATATCGGTGTTAGATGGTTTCACTAACAAAAAAACCTAAACTTCACTGGGAAACCAACATTGCTAAAACTAATTGCATATAAAATGTTTGGATCTCAAAGTCTTTATTAACAAATGAAGGGTTATATACAAAGATAAATGGCAATATTTGCTTGAATTTGTGTGTGCTGATAAGATAAACAATGTGCTGTAAATTGGCCAGGCATCTTCATTATTTGTGGTAGAATTGGCAAGCCATCAGAGGCAGTATGAAGCATATAATTGCCGTGAAATTTGCAGTTTCTTTGAAGGCCTGGGAAATAGCATCCATCTCTAAAAGTAGGCCTTCTTTAAAAATGTAGTGAAAAGCTTATTAAATAATTTTTACCAACATCAGGCAAGTTTTCTTAGGTTTAGAAAGGAATAGAAAGAATACAATTTATGCCATTACATATTTGCATAAAAAGGTATGGCAAGTGTATTATTTACATTGAGATTAACTAGCTGTACAGATTGTAAAGTTTAAATTAGATGCAAGAAACTGTATCTAGATGTGCACCTGCCTGGTACACTGAGCAATCCTTAGCTGGTATTTGCTGGAGAGATAGATTTACAGGAGGGGTTTTTTTTAACCTTTTAAGTAGGATCAGGCAGTTGGAGAATCTTGCAGCCAAGCTTGATATATTCTTAAGACCTGTGGGTTTAAAAAACACATACACACAAACAATTAAAATAACAGGAAATAGCACCAATGTCACACAGCTTACCATTGCTTTTAATTACAATTAAAAGATACAATATACAAGCATACACAAACTATTAGGAAAGAAAATATCATGTTTTCCTTGATGTAAAAGGAAACATTTGTTACAATACAAATGCTCACAACTACTTTAGCTTATTATTTAAAATGAAAACACAGCCAAAGGTCTTAATATTTCAAGAAAATACAGAGGATGATGTTTAACACAACACTGTTGTTTTCATGCTGATTATTTGGTCTTTGTGGCACAAATAAATAAATGCTCTTAATTGTTTTGATAACAGGCAATTTATAGCTACCAAAGAACCAATAGTAACACTTAAATGTTGAAAGGTTTGGATTCTGAAACCTATATTATGGATTATTATAATAATACAAATGAGTTTGTCTCTTCAGCAAATTCCCCTTTTTACAATAAATGGAGGTTATTTTTCTATTTTCTAATTATGCACTCTGCTAATAAAAACTCAAGGATTATGAGATACAGTGAGAACATGCATTCCTACTACTACTAAGGCAGCTGCTGCTTTTGGAGGGCCACAGAGCCAACTGTCAGCCTGACAATAACTCATAATCTACTGGAATTCTCCTTTATTGTTATTAGGTAGCCAGTGGTACTTAAAAGTTTACAAATCCTATTGAATTTTCTGACAGTAAGGAGAAACATAACCATATTAACAAACTCTGCTAATCAATCTTCCTCTGTGGGGTGCACTCCTGGTTGCAGAAGTATTCCCAATGGAAAGGAAGAGGATAAGCCATTCGTCAGATGATCCACTCGATTCCACCAGGCCCCTGCTTGCTTTATCTAGGATTATTATTGGTGAACTCGCATGTACTATCCTCATGCCTGATGTACGAGGAAAGCTGAAAATTAACGAGAGAGTTCATCTGTTGGCTTAAATAGTAAATTGAACGCTCTTATTTTACACTACCTAAGCAAGATGGCAATCAGTACTCCCATCTAACTAGATCTGAGCAACGATTGTCTCTGTACCAGCATCCTGAGCAAGACTATTCTCTGGAACAGGTTATGTAGAGACACTCCACGATTTAGTAGTTATCCTGTGCTTTCTGAGACAAAATTGCCTTTATGGATCTCTACTGGGACTGAAAGCTGGCTGCTTTTTCATTGGTAGATCCCTAGCAGCCTTTTGCCTACCTCTTAAAGCCAATGGGAATGCTGCCTCCTAGACATTAACTCATCTGGATTGCATTCATAACAGATTATTGACTCACCTGAGACAAACATACCTCTGATTTGTGTTAAGAATATGTAAAATGCTCTGACACTAAATAGTTTCAATAAAATAATTGGTGAGTGATTAAAAAAAACTTGGCTTTTTCATTGTTTTCAATGTCCTGGCCATTTTAAGTGCTGTGTCCTGGATTGTTCAGCCCAGCAGAAAAACAGATCAGGGGAAATCCAACACAAATATCAAAAATAATCTCCCCCCAACTTTGATTAAATTAATAATTGAGGCTGCTATTGAAGGAAAACGTGGAATTCATTCCAGAAACAATTACTTATTCGTAATGCCACCAGAACTAGGTTGCAAAAATCTGGATGACTAATAGAGTCCAGCAAAGAAGTAGATTTTTCCCTCTTTTGATTGCCTCCTAGTGGCTGACCAGATTTCTGCAACCCTAATCTGGTAACCCCATTATTAGTGCAAATGTGAGGTCCTTGATGTTCTCTGAGCTTGGTTGTTTTCTTGCAGACATTTCATTACCTAACTAAATAGCATTCATCAGTGATGACTTATCAGCATCCTCAGCATCCGCTGAATAATGAAACAGCTCCAAGAAAACAACCAGGCTCAGAGAACACCAAGGACCCCACAGAATTGTACCTGCTACTACTGGTTTACACTGAATAGAATAAGAGGAGGAGAGTGTTGAAAAGAAAGTACATGGCCAAAAAGAATAAGACTACTGCAGGGGTGCTGTGAAATCCCTTCGGTCTTTTAAAAAAAATCTTTTCTGCATTAAAAGTACACATGGATAAACAAGTTACATTGTTCATAAGCATACATTCCTGCTTTTGCAGACAAATAATGTAAAACGTGTGTGTGTTCATACATGCGTTACCGTGCTTCGCAGTGTTACTAATTCTGTCTTGGTTTGTTTGTTGAGCTTTGGTATATATCCCTATTCTGAGTAGTATCTGGCATCTTAAGCTGGGCTTCAGGATATTTTTAAGATAGCTAAACCTCTCTTGGCTTATTGAGTGCTTAGGATGCACTTTGTACATGCTCTTATGCTGGCCTGCTGAGCTTTCGGACTGTGTTTCAAAACGCCAAGGATGAAGAAACTCTATTGCTTTCTCACTGGCAACAAAAAAAAAACCACCCTGCTTTTGTTTTGTGCTGCACTAAGTTTTGTTGTTCAACTTCTGCTGATTCAGCTCCAAGTATATATGCTTCTTTCATCCCTGGAGCAATTCAGAGTGCATTTTTCTTTCTAGTTGAACAACCTAAGACAGTGCTATTTGTTGTTTTTCTTACAGCTGTACTCTTCAATAAAGGTATATTTATTAATATAAGAGTTATAAGCATCAGAGCTACAGTACAAACTGCAGTCCACTTGCTCTGGTGCTTTAACAGTAGCAAACAAGGGAACAATCTTTATTTCATAGAATGAGAGTGTGAGCAGGCCACTATGCAACTCAGAACCATCCACTTTTCACTGATACTGAAGCACAGGGTTGCCATCTTAAATTCCAATATAAATCAGCCTGGGCTGATACAATACCAATTCTGTATTTATATGTAAATTTTGTTTAAAACCATGGTCTTGAAAATACTATATTTTGAAATGAGTACAACCTTATTCTGTAAGGAATAAATAACATTCAATTTGATGAAGATTACTTCATGAAAATTTGTTCTAACCAGCACTGGTCTAGCACAGCATGATTTTAAAAAATTACAAAAGCAAACTGAAATATGTTCTGAAATATGACCATCTATCTGATGAGGGCTGAACGAAATGCATTTCTAAAAACAAATATCAAACGGTCCATCTTGAGTACCCATGTAAAAGTAAAACTCTTGAATATGGCACAAAAATTATTGAAATCCTTATCAACTTTACTTTGATGACCATCCAATCTTTTTTTAAAAAAAATCCTAACGAATATTTATATATACACATTAAAATACACACAAAATGGGATTCCCTCCGAATAATGCAAGTATGGAATTAAAACCTATGAATATACAATTGGATTGAAGGATGCTTTTTATTACATCATATCTGAAACAGCACAATATTTTTTTTGCAAAATATTTTGCCATTTGAGAATCATCAATTTACAGAGAAAATAATTATCACATTTGAGTTGTTTTTCCATTGACTAATTCAATGAGATGAACACTTTTGAAATAGTTTTTTTATAAATTATATTACACTAAAAATTTAATACTGACAGAGATTGATAATCCCTGCAAAAGATCCCATTACATGATTTTCTATATTGTATTTTTAAAGCATTAATGTCTTCTCACCTTAGCCAATGAGAGATTTCAGGAACGCAAAGCTACTGGCAGGTTGGAGATTCTCTGCAAAACATGACAATTTACACTTAACATGATGTTTTAACACACTCAAGTTGCAGTTCTTCCCACTTATAAATGAGCCATTTATAGAGTACAACTTCCTATTAAATTCAAATACATGTGGCTGAAGATTTTTCAGCTGAACAGTAGTGGCCAGAATGGATATTTATTTACTTTTTAAGGATTACTAGTGCCTTATAACTATGAAGGTAGATAAACAAAAAACAAAATCTAGTACACTTTCAAAGTTATTCCCATTCCATTTCCATTGCATTAGTCATTTTGTCCTGGTTTTTATAGTCACAATTACAGAGAAAGGGACCTATGTTGTTAAAACTTTTTCGCACTTTCCTTCTCCCCTTTTCTCTCTTTCACCAGAAAGAGTAAGATAATTTTCTAGAGGTAACATGGGACATTCAACTTCAAGTGGTATTTGTAACTATTGGGTGAAGTCAGTCAGAATCTGGTCCATATCACAAGAGACCACGGGCTCTCTAAAAGTTTATTCTGTTTTTTTGCTTTGATTTTTGCAAATGCATGCAAAGTTAGAGCATTTTAAGCCATGTGCAACTCCAAAGTGGATAGGGAAAGTAGAGACAGGGAAAAAACGGTCACTTGACTGCTGATATAAAACCTCTTTCTAAAATGTGCCAGAATAATTTTTCCCCATAACCCTCAAGCACAGTTAAAATCTTTAGACTATTCATTATGGTTCTTTTTATAGTATTTTTATTTAATAAAACCTATTAAGACTACCATACAAATCTCTTTACTTATGCTTTTATCTTTTAACTGATCAATTTTTATATTGCTGACATCTCCTCTTCACCATTTGCTCATTTAAAAATTCATAGTACATGAACTATGTCTCTGGAGAAAATGTCTATAAAATTTGTTACAGCTGGCAAATGTGTATGAGTCAGTGATAGCACATGACTAAATGCTTCGCAGAAAATAAAACTTGTTTCTGTAGTAAGCAGAACTGTTTAAATGTTATTTATTTTTATGTTTCAAAGAAAATATATTGTGAAGTGCTGCATTGATTTAATACACAACATTGTCTGTGTACACGCTGTACAAGGAAAATTTATGAAACCTTTGCACAACTCCTTTAATTGAATTTTCCAAATCTCTCACCACACACAAATAATCAATATCTTCTGCAGAGAAAACCAGTCAGAATTATTACCGTCTTTCTTTTCAATGTTGTCATCAGCACATAGAGAGCACCTGGATATTTGTAATGTCTGGATAGCAAGTTATTTACACCTCTTTAAAAGTAATTGCTATTAATCCCCTCAGTTGTGCCTTCCCACACCCTGTTTTATTTTAAATAACCATTACATGTCTGAAAGAAAAGAAACAGGTATTCTTTTTGAGCATTTGTAGTCATGTAGGAACACAGTACTGATAACATTTTATAATTTAAGTTTTCATTTCACTTGATATTCATATTCCTATATTATTGTAAGGCTCACTGAAAAAAAACAACTATAAGAAATAAAAGCATACAACAATTGGATCCAAGTTCATGAGCCAATTCTGAAAGGTTTGCCTATAAGGAATGCAATTTGGTAAGCTGGCATTTGTATATTTGATTTTGAATATAATTTAAGATATTCAGGTATATATTTTCTGTAAATGAGTATCACAGCCAGCCTAATAAGTAACATTTAACCTAGAAAGTATAGAACATTAAACTACACTTGAAACATTCAGTTTGCTTTCAAAATATCTAACATTACTGCAAACTATGATGCTACATACCTCTAATGTTGTATTTTAAAATTGACATCTTAACTACTGCTACGCCAAAGATTAAGATGACCAAATTTTATACAGTGAATAAAGCATTATATCGTACAATATTCAGAGGCCAAAAGAATAATGGAGGACTAATCATTTTTCTTCCCACTAAGTAACATTTCTCTGCTAGACAGATTAAAATCTCACCTAAAGCAAAAGATGCCACACAAAATCAATACAGCCCAAACTTAGTTTCTTACAAAATAATTTCAAGAGTGGTTCAGTCTTCAAAGGCAAGTGAGACAACAATATTGTTTTCGCTTTTCTGAGGCGAACTCCTATTGAACTCTGAAGAATTTATCTTTGAATAGGCATGCATGGGGTTGCAATGCAAAGTTTCAATCTTACATCATACAATTGGAATTTATTACTGAGAAATAAATCACAATATCAGCCATATTGAACATATTGGGGATTACTTTTGAATATACATTTATAGGATTGACTCTAGGAATGTATTAGAAGTGTTAAAAAAATTAAGAAAAACATTGTAACAAAGATAACAAATCCTATCTTATACATAACCAGGTTCAATTTGCAAGTGTAAAAAAACCTTTGACAAAGAAGTGCAGAAAGATCATTAAATAATAACATTCTTAAAGCCCTCTTATATTGACTAACTTTATAAAATGCCTTACTAAGCTACGAAGTGATTTATCATGATCCAGTTTTCCATGATCCAGATGTGTGGGACTACAACACCCATTATCTCCAGCCAATGGTACTTTGAATCCCTTACAGAGGAATTTCAGAATATACCTTTTCAATGGAGAAAATAATAGTGCATAAGGCAACTCCTGTGACCAGCAGGTCTGCAGTCTACACTTTCCGGATGATGTAGGACTTGGCCAACTTTGGTTAGATTGGGAAGTCAAGCCGAGTTAGGCTGGATGAGTATTTGGCTGGGGAAAACATGACCAATCAACGTAGGTAGCTCTGAACAAGCTGGACTAATCGTCTCTTAGTATGTGACATTTTTTATCTTCCCACATGAAAATGTCCTAATGTCTAGAGCAGTGCTTTTCACTATTAGCAACTTTAACACTGGCTGGAGAATACTGAGAGTTGAAGTCCACCTACCTTAAAGTTGCAAAGGTTGAGAAATAATGGTCCAGAATACTTGGTATACAGTACATTGTAATTTATCTTGCTCTAAATATCAGGCCTAGACAGTTTGCCTTCTACCTGTCCAAGGACTCCCATTCTACCTTTTTGGGATCAGCCAGCTGCAACCGAGGCACTATACAATTGTGGCAAATGGCAAACTGACTGGGAGGCAAGCAAAGTCTGATAGCTTCACATTGCTTGATCTCTTCATGGCAAAAAGCTAGATTAGGTGTATTATCTAAATCAGGCTAAATGCAATACAATAATATTGCAAAACTCAGAGGGAAGCTTTTTTAAAAGAAAAAAAAGACCAAAAAAAAGACTGTAAAACTCCACTGCTTTGTCATGGACATGGCAAACCCATTTGTAACAGATCCTTTTGTTTTCTAATCAATTGGAATTTGTCCAGTGGATAAAGCACCACTTTTTCTATTTGGCACTAGATACAGTACAAGCCTCTCCACAAGTGATCAAGTACTGTCTGGGACTCAGCAGGATAAAGGTTTTTGTGCTTGGATTTGCTCCTCCATATGCTGAAAGAAAAATTTCCTTTGGAAATATGCAGCACCCATCCTACACAGAGACACGGCAAAGCAGCAACACAACTCGATTTCATCTCCTGGCAGCTGCTCTCAAGTTTGCTTACATTGTCTTCAAAAACATTTTGTTTACTGTAAATGCTAGTCATGGGCAAACAATGGCGCTATTTTTTATGCTGCTAACATAAAATGATATACTAAGATCTACATAATGCTGTCCATTGATGAAGGAATGCTCTGAATCAAGTTGTTTTAAGTAGAGGTTGTTTATGTAAAGTAAATAAATTTAATGCCTCACCATGTGATAATAATGTGACATTCCATCAGTACCAAGCCAAACAACAGTCACAAGTTTTATATCCTGAGCGTAACTAATTAAAAATCATTATAGAAAACCACATCCAAAAGTAAAAAAAAAAGCAAAATAAAACACTACGTTCCTTCTTCAGTTGCCCTTCCCTCCTTGCAGTTATTTTTGACACACCCATTCTTATCAAGACAGCAAAAAGGATACCATTGCAGCAGTTAAAATCAATGTTGTTAAAATCTAAAAGTACCTTTTGTGTTCCTCAACCAATTTCATACTCCATGCTAAATTTTATGTGCTTTTGGGGTGGGGTGGGGGTAGTGGAAGGAGTGTCAAATATGCCTCTAGCATTCAAAATTGAAGAAATCATCTCATTTCAACATCTCATTAATAGCTGTTCTTGAACACAAAACACTCGATGCTTTGTTTTGTTTTTGTGTTAATTGACTACTATATTGAAAGGAGGTTCTGAAGAGACTATGGTATTGATAAACAACCCTGGAATTTAGTATCACGAGATGTTATGCAGGATACCAGCCTAGCTGGCTTAACAAAAAGTTTGGACCAATTCATGGAAGTCATGCAGATCAATGCCTATGGGCCTAGATGAAACATGTCATGAAGGCCATGGAAGATTTATTTGTACAATTGGTTGGCCACTGTGAGAACAGACTGCTGGGCTAGATGGGATCTGTTTTAAGTTTTTAGTTCTTTTCATTAGCTAATGGCCAGTTTTTAAAATAACCTCTGATTTCAAGACCAGAAGATTTTCATCATGTTAACATTCTTGACCTCAACTAGAAACTTTGATCTGTTTTTATCTACACAGGAATCGGGGACTGTATCCAGTTCGAGACATTCAGTTTGCCATAGATGATATAATGGATTTACTTTCCTCATTGCTATTAATAAATGATTCCCCATCCCCCCACCCCCACCCCCAGTGAACAAGAGAGAGGGAAAAGTGGACTTAGCACTATCCTAAAAGCTTGTATGGTTTCTCTTTCCATCACTCCTGAGTTTATTTCATGCTACCTATACACAAGAATCTGGTCTACTGATGGTCAAGGCAGGTAGGTAGTAGATAAGCGTCAATGGAATTCATAGGGAGCTGGATTTAGGTTTCTTGTGGGAGAATAGCGAAACTCAAACTCATGACATGTTTGACCCCGCCCTCCGGCTCAGACTGATCATCTTCTACACATGAGCAACCTTTGGCGTCCTGAAGGCTCCAGCAGTTTCCAGGTCACACCTTAGCAACTGCCTTTGCCCATCACAGAAGATGAGCACTCTTACACAAAAGCCAGCAATTCAATTTTAGCAATTAGTCTTGCCTGCTATGAATAGATGGGAGCCCTCATGGCTTCCCATTGCTCCCAGCAAAGCAATAGTGACAGAGAGGAAGCAAAAAGCAGGGAGTGGGGGAGGCACAAAAAGTACCAAAGGTAGAGAAAGAGAATCCAAGCCATTGTTGACTTCCACAAATGGGGCTCCAGGTTTGTGCAACTAACTGATTAGTGCAATATGAAGAGATCCCAGAATTCCCCAGCCATCCTTGGATTATTGGCTTCCTAGATCCACAGAGAATTATGAGATCTTTAGCAAGCAACACATATCAACCAGAGGCTGTGTTTAATCTTTGTGCCACACTCATTCCTGCTTTATGTAGCTGGACTCTCTAATAAACCACACTCCATTTTAAACTAAGGCACAAATTGCTGCTGTGGTGTTCTTATCGTTAAAATATTTTTTAAACAGTAACACCGTTTACTAAATACAGTGTTTTGATTAAAAATTGAAAAATCTATCCTAAAAATTTCTATATACAGACACAAAGCACATATAAAAAATGTAGTAAAATAGGTGGGAAAAAACAAGGCAAGAATGTTATCCGTTCAGTTAACAATAAAGAATGAGAAAACCCTACTCAACACATCTGACACCCAGCAAGCTAAGTCTTCATTGCTGAAATGTCCTTTATTCTGTTTCTTTTAAAAACTAAATCATAACCGCAAGGGAAAACTAATCTATTTGATCAAGATGTGTGTCTGCCTGTCTGGCACCAAGAACACACTGCTGAGCTACGGAGATTTCCGATATCAATAGAAATGCGAAATGACTTCAAGCTCAGGAAAAAGGAAGTATTGCCTTGAGTTTTAAGACACAAGATTGGGAACTAGCTGTCTTCCCCAGTTCACTCTTTGCCTGCGAGGACAGACAAGCTACTTATCTTCCTAACCTTTAACCAAACTTTGTGAAAGAAAACACACATGCTGTTTTTCCTATCCTCGCATCAGTCGGAGATTTTGCTCCTGATAATTCATAGCCATTACTCACATGTTTTTAAGTAGTGAGTACAGGACCAAGAATAAAATTAGGCTCATAGCTTATGTGAGTGCATTTCCAAATATTCTGGACACAATGCTATATGGACAGCTATACTGTGTATGATGGAAATTTTCTTTCTAAATGACTGACTAACCACAGATTGGGATCAAGTCTTCTTGTAAACACGATCAGTATAGCAAAAAAACAAACATGCACATATGCCACTGCAAACACGATCCCATTAGATATGAGGCAGTGGTAAGGGGCCTTTGCTCTGTCTTTTTAAAGCAAGCTTTGAAGCGAATCGTGCAGTCCCCTTGCAGCTGAGGATTCAGTATGGAACTGAGATGACATTGGTCACACTGTTTGACCACTAGAGGGATAGTATTGCGCTCTTGCTTCTCTTGATCTCTCATCAGCCTTCAATACTATCTTCCACGATATCCTTTTGGGCCAGCTCCAGAGGTTAGGAGTGACAAGGCAAAATATATTGTAGATCTCCTCCACATTTGAGGACCAATCAGTGTTGATAGGGAAGAAGAGGTCTGCCTTTCAGCTTCTCTTATGTGGAGGAGAGAGGGAGAGGGAGAGACAGAGAAGGTGGGGGAAGAGAGAGTGTGAATGTTCAGAAAATCTTCTTAAGAGCAAAAGCAGCTTGTAAGATAATGGAACAAATAACCTTAAGAAGTGGAAGTGGAAGGCTCTCTGGTGCTGGATATGCTCAGCATATAGTCATCTGACAGGCTGAGTGCTTTAATTTTGGTTCCTGCATTAAGAAGGAATTGGATTGGGTCTAAACAGTCTTTCAAATTCTATGAATCTGTATAGCACGTGATATATTTATGCTTTCAAGGTGGATTTCCTTTTTCCTTCATCTGTCAAACATATACAACTTTAAGAAGAATCTCTGTGAAAAACCGATGATCAGAAATACTCCTTAAGACCGTGGAAAAAGATCGTTTATCTTACTAGCTCATAACCTCCTGATTTTAAGCCACTGAAGTGCATAATGTGAAACAGAACTATAAGGTGCTTATTTTTAAATAAGATATACTTAAACCTTCAGGTGGGTCAGCTAAGCAGTGATGTCAGTTAAGCATCTCATCTTTTTAAGTCCCTTGGTGAGATTGGACTTTGTAAAATAGAGTTCATTTGTCTCTGCAATGTGGCAAGGCTGTATTCATAAATGTTGAGTGCTCTCAAGTCCCCCAGTAATAGACATTAGAGAAATATTATCATTATTAAAGCCTTGGGTGGCACCAAGGCTGTACTGTACACTGAAAGATTTAAAGTTAAGAAATGGTGATGTGGGTAAGACACATACAGGGGTGTGTTTGTGTGTGTAAATCCAGGCATTAACAGACTATAATCCCCTTAAATATGCTGCTTTCATGGTGTTAAGAATACCAAAAACATTGTATGTTCTGGTTCCAACTTCTTGTAAGCCCCCCAAAGAACGCTGCAAAAATAAAAGTGAATTAAAGATACCCGAGGGGAAAAATGGCAGTACTAAGTGAGGCTTAATCTGTATTAAAGGCCAAGGATTTCAGGAGAATAGAGAGAATGGAATTTGTGCAAAGTGTTCCTCACCACAAATGCTCTATCACTCTTCTGCAGAAAAACTGCACCATTGCCTTAGCATAAAGGGTCACAACTGAAGGTGCTCTAGGATCACATGCAGCCTCTAGAACAGGAGTGTCCAACTTTGGCAACTTTAAGACTTGTGGACTTCAACCCCCAGAATTCCCCAGCCAGCATGCAACTACCAGCAATTCTGATAGTTAAAATCTACAGGTCTTAAAGTTGCTAAGGCTGGACACCACTGCTCTCGAGTCTTTATGACCATGATCACTGAATCACATTTTCTTGCATTTTGTCATACTGTCTACTCTTTCAAAATGGGAAACAAATATATTTACGTGAGTCTCAAAGTAAAGATCACACTTTAAAAAAAAAAAAAGCAAGCAAGCCACTCCCCAAAGGTGTACATTTGGTTCTTTTCCGTGGATTCAATATTGCAAAGAAAAAGATTTTGGTAGGAAAATAATTTCATTTCTGAGTAAGCTGCATGTTTGCGTAAGGGTCTCTGGAAAACCCCAAACAATTTCAAAATAATGGGGGGCGGGGACACACTATCAAAATCTGTGCAAAATGTTCCCAACTTTCTCCTCCCTCTCCAAACCTCTCTCCCACACTTCCATTGTTTTATAAGGGCCCAGTCTTCTATAAAAAATATTTTGGACAATGTAAGGGCTCCACAGGGAAGAATATAATTGTATTTCACTGGATATTATTTAACAGCTCTGAACCGCCTTGGTATCTTTTTAAAAAAACTTGCTGAAAAATTCATTTTAGAAAATAATGGCATTTGGCAATCAAAGAAATAAATAAGAAGTCAAGAGCCACTGTAACTGTCAAATTATTGCAGATCTAATGCAGACTCAGTAAATAATAAATATCAATTATATCAATGCTCATCCTATAAGACTAAATTTTCCAAAGATATAACAGAATATAACAGGATTTCATGGAAACTGGATTTCATATCATTTTATATTATGTGAAGGCAAAGCCAAAATACAAATCAAAATTATCCCTGATTTCTTCATCCTCTAGAGAAGGTGTGTCCAACCCATGGCCCATGAGCCTCATGCGGCCCCCGACGGTTTGTAATGAGCCCCACAAAATCATAAAAAATATTTAAAAATAAAGGAAGTTTATTATTTATATACATTAACTGTATTTTGTGTGTGGCCCAAGAACATTTCTCTTCACTCTTTGTGGCACAGGCCAGCCAAAAGATTGGACAACCATGTTCTAAAGTGTTCCCACTCAAGGCTTCCAATGAATTTGCAGATATATATGTATGTATGAATGAATAAATAAATAAATATTCCACCAATTGGTTCAGTCTGTGATAGCAGTTGCTTCCCCACCAGCCAATCATCCCTGTTACAAAGATAAATCCAACTTCCTTCATGTGGTCTCTTCAACTATATTGGACTTCAACTCCACCACTCCATATCACAACAAGCTTCTCCAACTGGCGCTCTCTCCATCAACACCCGCCAGTATATTGGCGCTCTTCTCCATCAACACCCACCAATATATTGGTGGGTGTTGATGGAGAGAGCGCCAATTGGGGAAGCTTGTTATTAGAGTGAAAAAATGGGAATGAAGTTTTCCCAGTTCACCAGCAATATGTTTCTTTTACATTGCTAGCCAGAGGGGGAAAATATGTAAATAAGCATATTCAATGTTCCATTTAGAGTTTTTAAAATGAAACTGCAGTCCAATGTAAGTAGCTTCTTGGCATTTGATCAACTACAAAATAACTAATACCAAACATGGCTCCTTAAACCATATCACTTTGGTTAGACCAAGAGTGTCCAATCTTGGCAATATTAAGACCTGTAAACATGGCGGGCTGGGGAACTCTGGTAGTTGAACTCCACAGTTCTTAAAGTTGCCAAGGTTGGACACCTCGAGTTAGACCCTTATATATGACAATGTGTCTTTATATTATCTGCTTAAGAACTTGGGAAAGAGAAGAATGCTACATTATACTGCTTGGGGGCGGGATGGCGCATTGCGAAACAGAGTGTCACGAAATGGAGTTCCCTAGTAAGTTAGCCATCAAAGCAAATGTTGTACAATATTAAGGAATAAAAACCTCACCTTGAGTAGAAAATCTAGCAGCACCCGGTTTTCGCAGGTTTCTCTTTCTGACTTGCTCAACTGGAGAAGAAACAATATTTGGATATAATGAGAACTCTACTTGTGTGATTCTAATATATAAAATGGTGGTTAAAGAACACCCAATGAAATCATTACATTAAAAACTGCTAAATTGGATGCAGATTTCTACTCATAGAATGAATGTTTTCTAAGAAAGCATCAGGAACAGGAGTGGGATTCTACCGGTTCGGACCGGTTCTATAGAACCGGTTGTTATGATTCTGCTTAGTTCGGAAAACCAACAAATCATGCCCCTGGCTGGCCCCACCCTGCCCCTCTCTGCCTGCCCCTCCCCTCCCCATCCAGTCAGTTCTCATAGCGCATGCGCAACATCGCGTGCAAGCCCAACATTGTTGACTGTGTTCTTCCCTGCCCAGTCACTCTTTAAGGTATTTCTTTTTTTCCCTCCCGACAATCAGCTGTTCCCATGATCAGCTGTGCCAGGATTCCTCTTGCTGTCTTACTGCTTCACCCAGGAGGCTTCCCTGAGGCCCAGAAGGCCCCAAAATAGAGCATGGGGGGTGCTATGTACCCCCGCTCCATTTTTTTCCTTCCTGAGCCCCAGGGAAGCCTTCTGGCAGCAAAAATGCCCCCCAGGAGGTTTCCCTGAGGCTCAGAAGGCACCAAAATGGGGGTGGGGATGTGCTACCAAAAAAAGCCATGCCCACCCAGTCACATGGTCAAGGCCACCTAGCCGCGCTCACCTAGCCTCGCCCACAGAACTGGTTGTTAAAAAATTTGAATCCCACCCCTGATCAGGAATGATAAAAGATGGTTCCAGGTAGACAGGAAATCAAGCCGTTTTATTTACATGACCAGCTGCAGACATAAAAAATCAAATTCTAAATACTAATCAAGGTTTCAGAGATTTTGTTTAATAGACCTTAATAATCCAGTCTGTGTGTTTTGAAAAGTTATTTTCACTATTGCAATTTTTATTTGAATTATATTTTATGACAGTTTCTATGCTATTTAAATGTTCTCATCTTAGTTAAGGAAATGAGAAGGGAAATCACCCTTCCCTTAGACCTTATAACACTTCTATATTACCCCAAAAAGAAAAGCAGAAAATAGAATCTTAGTAAATTTCCATATAAATGGCAATAATATATCTTAATTTAACATATGGAAATACCCACACACACAATTAATCTTACATATAGTATATATTACTACACACATGGGTAATAAGGATATTAGGATACACTAAAAAGTTTCTAAACAAAATTCTAATATTACAAGAATGATAAAGGACAAGTATTAGAAGAAAATATGCAACTAATAGCCATAATATTAATATTGTCTAAATTAAAACCCAGAAAGTCTTATGTATGAATGGGTTAGTAAGTTGAAAAGTACAGATAGGATGCCAAACTTGATCGTTTCATCTGTGAAGGTTGCTTTCATCAGGTTACTTTTTAACTTCCTCAACAAAACACTTTAATTTATGGGTATAATCCTATTTACCTAAGAGTTCACTAAATTTTTATACTGTATTTAATTAGATAAACACAGAATTGAGCTGTGTTCCCTTAAATTTTAT